CCAATCAAAGACGACAACACTCTTCTCGTTCACAGATTTCTGTTTGCAACAGTCTTTGCATCGAAAGCGCACATCAACAAATGCTGATCGAGAGGACATAAACGAAAGGTTTCTCGATGCGGTCGAGTTGATTAATCAATCGAAAAGGCAGTCTTTCACAGGTAAACAGGTGATTCCAGATGGTCTATGATTAAGGCTCCATCCGTTTAATTTAATATCTGGTACATGATGACAACTTCAGTGATCGAATTGCAAAACCGAATCCGGAACACCAGACACTCCACGACTGAGAATGTCCTACCACAAAAGTTTAGTTCAAGACTATTGGACAACTAGAATCCCGTATGGATGCAATTTCACATCGTTCCAACGATCCTCACTTTTAGTTACCGATCGTAATCCGCTACTGTAGAGTAGGATACTATCCCGACTGCAACTGATGCATTCCAAAATTGGTTCCCAAACTGAGTATTCATTAACTGCATTGATGACTGATGATCAACTCAATTCATTAGACATCGTCAAACACAATATGCACATGAACAAAACAATCCTAATGGTAAACTAACAAACCTGTAAAAAAATCGGTATAGAATTTTAACTAAAAGAAAAATGAACAGCATCTGGAGAAAATTCCCTTCCGAGTTATCTCATGCTTTGTCACCGATTTCACAGAAGAACTTTTCCTGATAATCACAATATAAATCAAGCGTAAGAAATGTTCATTCGACTATGTAAATATATGTATGTACAAGATTAGAGATTTATACAAGCATTCGAGGACAAACATGTATGAATAGTTATCTTGACGGAATAATATTATCTTTCGTGATGACTGGACGTTCGAAATTCCAACGAAAACGAGTCCAACAAGGCGAAAGTATCGAGAATCGTTGTTGAATGAGGGAACGAAGCGATTTGTGACGAGAACGCAAATCGCAATGAATCCGTGGCGAACATACGGATGATAATGAACGGAAACAGTAACGGTAGTGGGAAAATGAAATTTTGATAACACAAGTATCAAGGAGGATGATAATAACATGACAACAAAAACAACAACAACAACAATAATATTAAAATACAAATGATGAAATCAAAGAGTGCATCGATAAATTCACATTCAAATAGACAAACAATCATGTAAACAATTTAACAAAGCATTTTTCAAATGAATGAGAAAGCGACTTCTCATCCACTTCGTAATAAAAAAGAAAGATTCTTGTTGAGTTCTAAACGAATTTGATCATTGTTGCATCCTTGTTTGCATGTGCGATCTGTATCTCATCACAGGGCCGGAGGGAATGAGTCCCTGAAATTGCATTAATATTGTCTTTTCGCCTCACATTCGAGCACATTAACACAAACTCAACTCTAACTTTTTTGTCTGTTAAGTCCATCACTCATTGCATAATTCCACTAAAATCTTCATATGGAATGATTTTACCTAACTACTGAATAGTATCCCGATCAAGATAAATTTTGAATTGTTTCACGATCGTCTACAACTCCTAACGCTTAAACCTAACCTGTCGCTCATTCAGGTGAAGTGACGTTATGAGATCAATAATTTTGTGGCATAATCGATGAAAGATTTTATTTGTGACAGCAAAGATAGACGAAGTTCATTCACAGCTAAGTGACAGTTGAAAATCAGAGCCGAATTCATGCTAAACACGTTAAGTATGCTTGTTTTGCAATTTCTGTTGTATCACTTAACTGTGGCACCACGTTAAGTGGGCAATTTTACAGATGAGGAGCACAACACGACAGTTGCCCTAATTGCTAGCAATTTTGCGTGATTTTGTTCATTCTTCAATGTTTAACAACTTGTAATGATCACTATTCATATCACCCGTCATCTCACATGAACTGACCGTTTTGACCTAGTACTGCTAGGTACGAACGTTTATATTATCGAGATTTTTTATCATCAGTAATCCTAATGCATGTTTCTATTATTTCCTGCTTGTGCCGGTTTGTGACATGTTTGGTATTAATGTTCAAAAAGTGATGAAGTTTCAGTCCGTGATCACTTGCGAAACTCAAGTGCGACACTCAAACATTAAGCTGATTATAAGCCCATTTAATCACGAGCATTTTTTTGGACTGAAACACCATGCAGCCGACTATACTGGCAATGCGTTACGTCACTTGGCAACGAGATGTACACATGCGTGTTCAACTCCATGAACTCTAGGATGTGCTCGTAAAAATTTAATCCTGCCGAAGTCAGCAAACCCTGCCATACTTGCCAAAAAAAACCCTGAGTATGAAGTGCTTTGGTGCTCCTATAACAGTAAGTGATAACTTTTGCCGTCACCACCACATTAAAGCTGTTATCAGCGAAGCGATGCATTGACGTCAACTGACCACAATAAAAACTCATCAGTGATAAAACCAAAATGACGCATTTGCGTTCATTTTTCACTAATTTTTGGTCAGTCAACTTGTGCTCAACAAAGTGCCTGCTTACGATCAAACTACGTCAACTTAACAGTTCAATTTCGATTGATCTAATTTCGTATTCTGTGAACAGATCAAATAATGAAGCAATTAAATCTGGTGATCTACTAGTGATACTATGAGGTGTTGCTATAGACAAGCAATTGCGCCGAAATGTGCCATACAGAACCGAATGAAGAAATAAAATGGAATCAATTGCGACAGTAACGTGGAATAGTCATTACGTTTTTGTTCTTCGCGTTCACGTGCTACCTGAAGCCTTCGATAACTAGCTCGAAGACGATCAGCGGTTGAGGTGGTCAACGATGAAGGATGTGATGAGTAGGCGGTTGATTGAAAAGCACGAATAACACGCATCTGCAAATCGATCTCATCCAGTGAAAGCACTATTATTCTACGTGAAAGATTTCTACGTGATTTGTGTTCGTGAAACAATAATCATTGACGCAAAATGTGTCCGCAAACGCTATGAATGCGTGATCGCATAAGCATTTCGTATAACAACATTCACTACTTTCATAGAACATCGATCTGCATTACAGCCAATCGCTAATTCTTCTGGCACACACCACTGACCCATTCGTCAAATCACAACAACATCACCACATCATCATGCAATCATGTTTCAATAAGTGGACTGTTTCTGAGATAGTAGCACACACCTGTGTTTGAAGCCTTGTCAATCCGAGCAGCCACAGAATTTGACCGGGCCGTTGTTGTTGCTCTTTGGTGATTCCTTTACCAAGTGTATCGACATGCTCATATTCACCGGTGACAAGTATGGACGTTGGTTGTACTTCACCACGTCCAAACGAGAAGAATTTCGGTAATATACTGCTTGGAATGGTTGCGATCACCTTAAATCGTTCGCATGAATTATTCCTTACGTGAAAGTAACCGTAACGAAGAAGCAACTTCAAATCAGCGTCAACTGAAAGCAACAAAAGCGCAAAGCTTTTTGCGTTTCATTTGAAATCTTATGGAAATAA